CTTGCTTTGCACCTGATCATCCATGTTCCTGAAATCGGAGCAATGCATTGGGGGTGTCAATTTAATATTAGGAGCATAGGACTAAGTTTGCACCATGTAATGGAGTGTGATAAAGCAACTCTTGAACCAACTGTTCTTGGAAATAGCTTCGGTAGTGTCAGCTCAGTGCTAGGCTTGGGCTAATGTTTCATGTACATACAGTGCTAATTAGTCTACTGATGACAAGCTTTTTCAGTTAAAGCAAGTACTGCACTGCATTTCTGCCTCTGGAATGTAAGTTGTGTTTCATTTAATATCACTTGGGAATATTGATGATCAAGTTGTTATGGAAAATAGAGAATGAGAGACCAAGGTATTGCAGAATCACAGACTGGTTGAAGTTGGGAAGGACCTCTGCAGATCATCTGGTCCAACCCCAGTGTTCAAGCAGGGCCACGTATAGATCGTTGCCCAGGACCATGTCCAGGTAGCTTTTGAATATCTCCAAGGAGGGAAACTCCACAGCCTTGCTGGGCAGACTGTAAAGTAGTGGAGATACAATTTCAAGGTCAGGGTACTTGCAGGAGACTTTGAGACGCAACTTCATATCCCTCATCCTGCTCCAAACTGAATTAAATCTCAGCTCTGTGGACCCTGGGCCAGTTGGCTCCTCATTGCTGCATTGCCCTCTCATCTCAGCCAGCAGGTCCAGCCTGGCCTAGGAGACCTTTGCTGTGGGAAATGATACCAAACAAGTGGAAATTTTGGCTTTTTGGCAAAAGAAAACAAGCAAACTTGGATGTAAAACTCCTGATGAAGTCTTCAGTAATTCTTACTGTCCTTTGATGCTGACCCTGTACACTTCATGGCTTCCTGCTTGCATTTGTTATGTCTGCATGTGGTTTCAGTCAGTGTTTTATCTGTTGCTGGTTAGAGGTGATATTTTCTGCCGTTTTTTATTTATTTACGGTATGATGGAAGCAGACCATTTGCACATATGTGTGACTGAGCAGATTTGTGGTGCAGGTTAATTCCAGCAATTTCTTAACTGATTCTTAGTTGATTACCAAGTTTATGAATGGTTCTCCAGATATTTACCGCAAGTGGTCTGCCATTGTCACAAAATACATTTTGACTGCTAGAAGTTCATATTTCCATTACATATGCTGCGTTTCTGATGAATGCTTGTTCAGCCCCAGATGATGAGGGCAAAATATCTCTCGAACATAGATGAAATGCAGCTAGATTTATGAAATGTATGTGTAGAGGGATCCATTAATCAAGGTTTCTCTTCTATTGCAGTGTTCCCACATTCCAGAGCCTTCCTGAGGAGATACTTAGTAAGCTTGCAGATGTCCTTGAAGAGGTAAGTACTTTTAATTTTGAGAGCTAATGAGTTCAGATTCTGCAAGCCTTCTGGTGGCAATATGCAGGCTCTGGATGAACAGCTTCAGAATTTTGCTCGCAGTTACGGTTGGCTGTTCCAACACGTTGAGATAGGAGGAGCTGTGTGGAAAATGAATCCGGTTTTGAACAGGGCTTACGTATTTTTTAATTGGATTTCTAACTAATTGGGGAACAAAACAATCATTTCCTGTGGTGTGCAGAAGGGAAACCTTCTCCAGCCCCTGGCTCAGTGGTGGAAAAGGGAGAATGTGAAAATACCATCACCTTTCAAATTTGATGGGACAGTTAGGTTAGAGGGCCTTAAAGGAGGTGTTATGAAAAAGCTGCTCCCATAAGAGTTATAGCAGAGAGGGGTGATGAGATATTTAATGGTCCAGGTGGAGTTGTGCTTTGCATACCTGGCTGTAACTAGTATCTGATTAGTGTCAGGCTTGTAATGAGTCTGTATTTAAAAAAAAAAAAAAAAAAACCAAAAAAAAAAAAAAAAACCAAAAAATCCCAACACACAAAAAAAATCACCTGCACCCTACCCCCCCAAAAAAACCCCAACCCTCCAAAGCAAACAAAAAACCCCAACCTTACCCCGTAAGTGAATGTATAAAATGAATGTAAAATATTGGAGTTGCATTGCAGGCAGTTTGTCCACATAGTTTATTCACATAGTGCTCTGTTCTGGGCCTGCAGAATTGCATGTGATTATTACAGAAATTGTTAATAAAACCTTTCAAAATGTAGCCTCATATGATTTAACTGCAGATTTCTGTGTACAACAGTATTTTACTTCATTCCTTGTCATTTTTTTCTTGTACATGCCTTGCCATCCTAAGCAACCCTAATAACTATGTTTATAGAAAAATGTTCATGTATACCAGCTCTGGCACTGATTTTAAGAAATGGCGCTCCTGACATTTCAGTTGATTTTTTTTTTTTCCAGAGCATTGATAGGACGTTGTTACTTCTTTTGCTTTTTTTAGTATACAGATAAAGTCTGTAACCCGAACAAATCAGCTGTTTGTCATACAGAATAATTGCATTTTCATAGATCAGCTTTTGTCCTTTACTGCTGGAGAAGTGTTCAGATTTAGAGACAAAAGGCACATTAACTCAATATGAATTAGATTTGCCTATCTCAAAACTGCATGCCTAGCCAGAGACAGATAGTGTAATTTGCTTGGATCATATAACCAGCATTAAGGTCCTTATCGAGAGGTAAGCAAAAAAAATAAAGTCAGTAAAATGTTTCCAGGGACACTTAAAGTTTCATGGTAGGGGAAAAAAAGTCATAACAAACATCAATGAAGAAATGAGGCACGAAAGCAGTCTCTGTGGGGGTAACTGTATGCTTAGGGAGGATGCTGTGGCAAGAGAGACTGGTTGTCCCAGTCTGTACTGGGATATGGCTCCCAATTTCCTACTCGGAATCACCCTTGTTATTCCTTCTGGATTTGTCTTTGATTTAACATATCATGTTTTACATTAAAAAAAAAAAAAAAGAAAATCACTGTCTTACGATATTACACATTTTGTATTTAACAGTATCCAGTGTAGTGAAACTAAGCATCAAGAACTTTATTTTATCCTTTCTGTTGCTGTAACAAGGATTGGATAAAAGTGACTGATTTGGCACAGTTTGAGGCCGGGGAAAAAATCTCTTTCTTAATGCCAATATTTCATGCAGTTTTTCTTTTGATACAGTGCTGTGAATAATGCAACACTTCTACATTCTTTAGTGAACAGTATTTAGAAATGATTTAAAATCCAGAAGCAAGGAAAAAAAACTGGTTTAATTGCCTGTTACTCAAGTCAAACTTGGAAATGGCATTATAAAGACAGTGGAGAGGAAAAAGACCAGTATTTGATAACATAATTTCATTTCTAGAATTGATGGAAACACTACCACAAGTTCCTTGGATAACCTGAGAATTAACAAAACCCAGGGAATTTCCTTTTTTCTTGCAGTGGCTTCTGACTTGTGCGAGATCACTCCCATCAATGACATTGCTCATAATTTATATGCATGAGAGTAGAAACAAGTCTATTGGACTCAATTTTAGCACATTCAGACCCAGGCTACTGATATGCTGCATTTTTACCAAGACATCTTCTCTCAGGAATTAGCTTTCTAGGGCCGTAATTTACTCTGTTTCCGGGCCTGTGTTCCAAGATGTTCTGGATGTTTCTCCAGCTGTGGATCATTGCAGTTGCCACCAATCTCAAAGCAACTTTAGGATGCACCTCTAGCCACAGTCCCAGGATTTGGGAATGACTACTAGACCCCAGCACCCAAACCTGACTTCTTCCAGTACAAACCTGTCATCTTCCATTATATTTTTAAAATTATATGAATATTTCTCAACATTACATATTAACAAGCATTAATGTAATGTGTAGCTGACTTTACCCAGTGGTTTGAGAGATGTTAATAATGCTGCAGTGATTTCTACTGTGGTGGGAAGCCAAGCATCCATGCCAGCACCAAGGTTGATTTAGTTTGGTGGTAGTGCCATCTCTGCTGGAACAGTGCTGCCTGACCTCTGATTTTATTGCATGGTCTATCCTCGTGCTTGCCAAACATAATGAGTGAGTCTATGATTAAGAAGTTTCTGCATCTCGAGACTTAATTTTTGTTTACTTGAGTTTAGCTAGCTTGGTGTCTTAAGGAGATGTTTTATGTCTGCCTATAGGACAGTCCTCTCAAATAATTTGCAGTTACTTGCCCAAAACCCACTTGATGCAAAGTTCCTGTGAGATTCATCCAAATTGCAGGAAGGGACAAGAATAAAGGTTTAAGTTAGTGAATGTAAAGTCAAAATAAATGTATGGCTTTGGTCAACTCAGCCTCCGCCTTGTTTGGGAAAGATGGGGAAGCAAGGGTTAATGGTGCTCACGCTGTGGAAGGGATAAAGGACACATTAATCAGTTATTATGTACAGGGAACAAGTTCTATCTTTATTTTCTAGTAGAGTGGTGCATGTCATCACACCTTTGCTGTGTGTCTGGGATGCAAGAGGCAACACACAGCACTACAGCCTAAAAGTTTAATGACATTTTTAATACTGTCCCTAGTGTTTTCCTAGTTTTTCTTCCTTAGTGCTTGCTTTTGCGTTTTTCAGTTAAGCCCTTCTTGACCTCCCTCTGACTTTTCAGGCATCATGTACTAGACCGCTCCTTCCTAAAAAACCCATTGTCCAGTACCTCTGGGCTCTGGTGTGTGTGCTCACAGCTTGGTTGCTTAGCAGTGTCGAACTAGTGGCAAAATAGTTTCACTCTACTGTATTTTGTTAAAGAAAATCAACATGCTTATGTTTAAATATTGGAGGATTGACGTAGTTGGAAAAGATAAGAGCTACTAGGGTGCTGCTTAAACACAGCTCTGTGTCTTAATGGTACTTGAATGGAGGTATCTCAAATACCTGGATCGGTATTTATTGTGCAAATATCTTTGCTCTGGATGAATGCACATCTCCTTTTGAAAACAGTGAAAGTGCTGCCTTGCACATTATTTTTATTCCTGAAACATCTGAACAATTATAGTTTCTTTGTGTGAAAAAGGGAAATTCATTTGTGAATTGAAAGACTCGATGTAGAAGATTAATAGCCAAGGTTAAGAGTCTTTTTTTTTAATAAATCTGAAAAGCTTTGTGAAAATACAAAAGCCTTGACCTTTCTTTCCCCACATTTAAAGGTTTTGAAACAATTTATGGCTGTCTTTTCTGATTACAGACTTTCTCATTTTCTTAGAGTTAAAAAAAGTCTTTTTTTAATCACGTACCCTTAATATGTATCAGCTATATATCACAAAAATAAAAGAATTTTAGGTAATAAACCGTCCTTTACTAAGAATATGTAGCCTTCGTGTTATGGTACTTCATTATCATGTGGGCAGCTTATAACACAAGGGAATAAAGTTGTTTGTTTTTTTTCTTTAAGGAAACTAAAATACGAAACACTCGTAGAATAACTTACAGTAACTGAGATGCCATCCACATATATGACACTATGGCCAACATTTAGAGTCCTGTCCCCTCTGCCAGCCCCCAAACTGGGCGGTGGCACAACAGTGTAGCTGCCCTGATGGAAATATGGGAGGAGAGGGAGAAGCATCTTCCCCAGCTTCAGGTTCTGAGAGTTTTCATCTCTTTCTCATGGGAGTGGAGAAACTGGTATCTCTAAGGACTAAGAGGTATTGTAAAAAGCCCTCTGGGTCACAGCACTATTAATATTATATGGACATCGTGCATCTGGTGTCTTACCCAGTGACTATCTGGACGGTACTAACGATGCCAGTAGTTCTAATCTTTGTGGATTAACTCCATTTGTTAAATGAAATTAAATCCTTAAGGGAGGAGGATGATGAGTCTGTAAGAAGTGGATCAAATTGCCAAGAACTACACTGCAGGTGAGAGAAGAAAAAATGGAATATATGGTCATGGAGGAGAAAAACCAAACAAAAACCCCAAAACATCCGACCTCTAGTATAATTTCTCAAGATATGACTCTTCATTGTAAATGTAAAGGTGCTTTGTCTCCTTGTAGCATAGCAGAGTGCCTACAGGACATATATCTGACCACTGTTAAGCACCTTTGCTTTGTCTTGGTGGTTAGAAGGGGGGAAAAAATCAGGTAGTGGCACTTAGCTGATGGAGCAAAGGTAGCATTTTTCCCCTCTGTGCTGCCAGTTGAAACCTGGCACCTTTTTTTTGTGAGGTTGTGTATATGCGAACAAGTAGGAACCACTGGAGAGGTGTAAAGGGTGGCAATGGGTGGACCCCCCCCATCAGTGGCCTTCAGCTCTGACCATGCATGTGGAAGAGTTTTACAAGAGCTCAGCAGGAGGATATTAGTACTTCTGGCAGGAGAGTAGATCCTGAGAAAAGGGGAACTAGTGGGCAGGCAGAAAGACAGGTGAGCTTGAGAAGGTGTTTGAAATGTCTGGAGGAAGAGAAAGTTCAGTACAGG